GCCGCCTTCAGCCCAGGGCCTGATCCTGGGGTCCCGGGATCGAGTCCCACATCGGGCTCCCTGCATGGAGCCTGCTTCTCCCTCTGCCTGTGTCTCTGCCTCTCTCTCTCTCTCTCTCTCTCTCTCTCTCTCTCTCTCTCTCTCTGTGTGTGTGTGTGTGTGTGTGTCGTGAATAAATAAATAAAATCTTAAAAAAAAAAGCCAAAGGAAGACATTGAGTGGGGCATTCTCTATTGGGGTATCTGTACCAACAAAATAGAAACGATTAGAGAAAAACTCCCGCTCCCAGGAGGATGCAGGCACAGACCTGAACTGCAAAAAGAGGGGCAGACAGGACGGGGGAGAAAGAGACTGCCCTGCAGAAGTACCGTGGCATCTTGGTTGTGATGATGACCACACTTTACAGCACGGTACTCACTGATCATGCACAGTAAACGGTCTGTCAAATAAAGAGGGAGATTTCTTTTGAGCATCTAAAATGTGGAAGGTGAAGGTGCTAGAGGCTGTATTACCTCCCCTTTTTCCAAGCTGTGTAGAGCGCAGAGCACTGACCAGAACATAGGAGAAGGAGGAGCAGCTCCGGTGGAGAGAGGTCCACTCCAGTGTGGAACAAACATCTCTGAACACCAAAACCAGAGGTAGGGGGAGGCTGGGGATGTTTTGCTCACCTGGACCTGGACCTCATGGGAAGCTTCAACTTATAAGGCCAAATCAGAGTTGGGAAATCAAACTACCGCTCAAAAATTACAAACACAAAAGACCCGTCTGGACATGTGTGACAGATTTTCATTTGTTTGGAGCAGGAAGTCGGTGTCCAGAGGTGTCATGCTTCATGACAGCCTTCACTGGGTATTAAAGCCCGTCATGGACCTATTTCCCATCACCACCACACGACATCAGTGATGGCCTCCAGCGAAGGGCCACCAGATCAGTGGGGCTGGTTGCTTCCTCATGCAGGACTATTTGCAATGACTGCTATGGCCAAAGGGAAGACATTACGACCACACACCTCTCTCGCAGGAGCCAACAGGCAGCAACCTGAGCTACTCTCCAGGCCAGGGGAAGGCACTGTGTCCGCCCTGCTCTAGCCAGCCCTCCCTCGACCACCAGTTCTTCTCAGGCTGCCCATAGGTCACAGGACACACCCTCAGGACACACCATCTCATGACTCCAGCCTGCCAGTCTTCTGGGTTTGTTTTGTTTTGTTTTGTTTTACTTTGTTTTGTTTTGTGGCAGCTGAGTTCTGATATGGGAAATACGCATTTGAGAAATGACCAGTTTTAAATTTTAACAAGTTTATTAGTTCACTATAGTGTATCTACTCCATAGAAGGCATCACGTGTGGAGTGAGGGTGTTTGGCACATACCCCAGATCAGAAACTCACCCAAAGATGCTTGTTCAGAGGTTCACCCAAAGAGGCTATCATGTGCATTTTGTCCCGGGAACTATCACCATACCCATCTTTAAGCCATACAAAGGCCTCCTCATGCTTCTCAGCCAAGGGATATCACCTGACAGAGGCTTCCATACCGCCCTCCATACCTGAGTCCACACGGCGCTTGGCTTTTCCATATTGCCAGAACATATACATCTTGAGAGAAAGGATTATTGTAAACCTGTTACAGCCTCAAAGAGTAGAGAGGGTCCGGCTCATAGTACGTACACAAATGTTTGCTGAATGAATGAATGCTTTGCTGTCCTGAAAGACAGCCCCCAAAGAACAAATCCCCAGCCATCCAAACTACTTCAAAACAACTCCACTTGAGTGTACATGTTGTGATGTGTTGACTTAAAATCAATTTTTGAAAAAATTTTGGTCAAAAAAGACGATCTCTTTTTTGATAATGAAAATACATATTTCATTCTGTTTCTTGATTTTTCTCATTTATGGAATTCTAGTAAAATGTAATTAGATATGATAGCCCTTTTATCTGTATTTCAAAAAGTACTCAACACAGCATATTTCCTAGAAATGTAGAGTGAGTCACAGCTCCTCATGGGTTTCCCCATGTCGGTTCTTCCAACATTTTTATCTTAGGATAAATCTGCTACCAAAACCTAGATTCATTTGAATGTGAAATGGTCCTATGTATGCAATCATTTAAAAAGTAAGACAATTTGCCATAAAACATACTTAAAATCTTTATCATATGATTCAATTGCAGTCTATCTAATCCAGTGTTGGAGCTGTGTTAAGTCTGGGACAGTGCGGTAGTGACAGTCATATCCCAATGGAAGCCGTTGGAACTAGGCACGAGTATTGCTCATTGGGTATGACCCAGGCTTTGTCATTCTCAGGGCATCCCTCATCCCCCTTCTTACAAATCCTAAAGGGAGGAAAGGTGGAGTCCCTGGTGTTCCATTTTGTTTCTTCCAAATAACATGCATTGATCAAAAGTACATTACCTCTTAACTCCTACTAAATCTCCATCACAGTGTATCTTTTTTTTAAGGTATTTATTTATTCGTGAGAGACACAGAGAGAGAGGTAGAGACATAGGCAGAGGGAGAAGCAGGCTCCCTGCGGGCAGTCTGATGCTGGACTCAGTCCCAGGACCCCGTGATCAACCCTGAGCCAAAGGCAAGCGCTCAACCACTGAGCCACCCAGGCGTCCCTCCATTACGGTGTGTCTTAAGTAACTCTAGACCAAGTGTAGACCCAGCAAGCACAATCGTGGCTCACCCCCTTCTTCCTCCATCCCTCCCCACTTCCTCAGCTCCACGGGGGTCCCCATGACACACAGTATCAGAAGCACAGTATCAAAAGAGCCAAACTCAGTCAGGTTCGTTTCACCTAACTGCACAATGTTATTTAGATTTGGCCCAAGCTTGTTACTTACTCTCCCAAGTTCCTTAAAAGCCACCCAGGGTCTCCTGGAAATGGTAGCCAAGCAATGGCTGTGTCCATACATTGCCCTTAGGGACCTCACCTCCCCTCAGCTGTAAGTGGTGTTTGTTGCACTGGGCCCATGTTGCTGTGCTGGTCCCAGACCCATGCTGGTTCATCCCCACCTGCCCACACACAGGATGAGTTAGCAAAGCCTTTGTATCACTGCTCATCTCGTGCTCCCTTATTGTTCACTAATATTACATTAGACGTGGACAGGGAGGAGGAGGATCATGTGGCCAAGTCCACTGCTTCTGGGCCCCTTTTGGAAGCCACAGTCTTGGGACTGAAACCATGGTAATTCACAGCACACTGAGAAAATCAGATGCCTCCTCTAGAGCAAGTGGCAAAGCTGGGGGCGGGGGTCCGTATTCTGCTCGAATCACTGCCCCGCCCCCAGCCCTGCCTTGGAAATTCCACTGGACTAGTTGGGACAAACCTGAGAAATAAGCTTGACCAGAGGAGAGATAAAAACCAGGCAGCCAAGGGAAGATGGGGTGGGGTACCTAGGTGATGGGTATTGAGGAGAGCATTTGTTGTGATGAGCACTGGCTATTGTATGCAATTGATAAATCTCTGGATTCTACCCCAGAAACTAATAGTACACTACATGTTAACTAACCTGAGTTTTTTTTTTTAAAGATTTATTTATTTATTTATTTATTTATTTATTTATTTATTTAGGGAGGGTGCAGAGGGAGAGGGAGAAAGAGAATCTCAAGTGGACTCCTTGCCAAGCAGGGAGCCCCATGTGGGGCTCAGTCTCATGACCCTGAGATCATGACCTGAGCCAGAATCAAAAGTCGGATGCTTAACTGACTAAGGTGCCCAGATACCTCTAACTAACTTGAATTTAAATAAAATCTAAAACCAAAAAACAATGGGCAGTCAAAATGGCTTTAAGGTATTTGAAGATTTTTATTTCCTTATTCCAGTTTTACTCTTCACACTCTAATGCGACTATTGGATCTTTAATTGGACACTTGTAAAATACAAAGACGATGAAGAAAGTGACAAATAGTGGGTATTTCACACAGTCATCAAAAAGCACTTTTTTAGCCTAATCTCTAAATTGAAAGCCTTTGAACATGCTAGCACTCTATAGTAAGAAAAGGAGAAGCATGGAGCCAAATCCCCTCCAGCAAGCTCAGAAGCAAGAGGGTCAATGAAACAATCCTTTTTATAGGGAGCAGACGAAGGAGACCATCACAAAAGCCACTCAGCAGAGTGAGCCCATGACAGAGCCAGGGACAGCTCTACCAACTAGGACTCTCAGAATCGCTACACAGGCTGACAACCCCTGCAGCATGAGTAGACAAGCGGAGTCCTTGTGCAGGTCAACGCTGCAGCCAGCTGTGGAGTTATGGAAGCCCTGGAAGGGCACAGAAATGGACACAAGAAGCCTGGAGAATGGGGATGACATGCTGGTATAGTCAGTCATCCAGGGGCTCACTGACCAGTCATGCAGAAAGTTTCAGAAGAGTCACAAGGTTCCTCACTGGCCCAAAACAGATCGAGGAGACCAGAGGAGAAGATCTGAGGTTTTTTTTTTTTTGTTTTTTTTTTAAAAAAGATTCTAGATCAAGAATCTCTAAAACTTGGGATGGGCACCAGGCCCCAAAGCCAGGGGTAGAAATTCCCCCAAACTGGAAGTTTTCATGAAACCTTGTGGCTTTGTGGACTTTTTGGTGGCAGTGGCCAATGCTTCTGCATCCCCTTTTGGAAGGTGTGGCATCAGAACTGAAGCTACAGCAATTCACAGCACCCTGGGGATGTCAAATGCCTCCTCTAGAGGTCAGCTGCATTAATGCTAAAGCAAGTGGCAAAGCCAGTGTGGTCCGCAGGACCGTGTGTTGGTCCTCCTTTGAAAATTGCAGCTATTGCAGCCAAGACCAATCAACAGTCTCATGGGACAGCCAGTCAGTTTGGAAAACTCTGGCTTGGAAATTCTAAATGAAGTAATTGTCCAAATTCATCCCTTTCTGGCTTTTTCTTTTTCCCCCACTTCTTTTTACTTCTTCATTGGTTTCCCTCTGGTAGCATCAGTGCAGATGCCATAGCTGTATTTCTCATGACTTCTGAAAGGCCCGTCCATGTCGGAGCAAAGACCCTTCAGTAGGAAAGAGCTCCCGAGGTTGTCTCCAGCAACATAGATGACAGCTTCACGCTCCCCTCTCTCCTTGTGAATGAGACCCACTGCTCCTGGCTGATGCAACCCAAGCTCTTCAGGGTCTTCACAAGATCCCGGCGGAATCTCTCGCCCACAAAGACATAGAGAACGGGGTTCAGACAACTGTGGAAGAAGGCGATGGTTTGAGTGACCTGGAAGCAGATGTCAACGTTGGTGGAAATGGCACAGTTGGAGAGGAACACGGTGTAGGCATCGATGGTCTGCACCAACAGAATGCAGTTGTAGGGGAACTGAGATAGGACAAAGACGGTAAGGACAGTGATGGTCACCTTCAGGGCCTTGTGCTTGGATGACTTCCTGGCTTGCAACAGAGTGTAAATGATGATGGTGTAGCAGCAAGCCATGACCACAAAAGGGAGGAAGAAGCCCAGGATGACCTTCAGGGTCAGGACAACCGACTTGACTTTGCTGTTCTGGTCACTAGGGTAAACCATGGTGCAGATGGTGATGTCAGATTCCTCCTTGAGTTGACTGTACAGGAGTTCCGGGATGCAGAGTGTGGCTGCCACCACCCAGACAGTGAAGCAAACCATTTTGCTGTACACAAGTCTCTTCTGCCTCCAGGTCTGCGCTTTCGTGGCCTGGGCAATGGCAATGTACCTGTCCACACTGATGCACATGATCAGCAGCACACAGCTGTAGAAATTCATCTTGTACATACTGTTGACCACTTTGCACAGGGGGGTCTGGAACTTCCACTGGTCGGCGGCAGCGATGGCCCAGAAGGGAAGCGTGAAGAGAAAAAGAAGGTCGGCAATTGCCAAATTCAAAAGGAACATGTCGGTCATGGTCTTGACTCTGGTGCAGTAGCAGTAGACGAGGATGACCAGACTGTTGCCCAAGGTGCCCACGATGAACACAAGCCAGTACAAGGGTGGGAGGAAGTGGCTCGCGAACTGCCGGACGTGGCCTTTCTGACAGAATAAATCAGGGAAGTTCATGTAGTCATCCACGGGAGACGTGGAGTGGTAGCTGTAGTCATCAGATATGTTAGAGATGAGGTTCTGCAAGGAGACATCAGATACCATTAGGTCAAGGACTATCCTTTGGAGGATTGCAGGATGGCAGAGGCATGGACCACGTGACCCTCCTCCACCCCAAAAGTCTATGACAAGACAGAGAAATGTATGCATGGAAAGTAGGAATTTCTGAGAGTATCTGCTTGAATCATACAATAGATACTTGTATTCAAAGAATCTTTCTCGCACACATAGGCTACGTCAGGTACTGTGTGCGTGCTAAAAATGCACGGGTAAGTCAGACGTGGTTCCCACTCTTGTGGAACCCACCTCCTAGTGGAGGGCACACAGAGGCAAAGGAACATTTACAGGACATGTAACAAGCGCTCAGATGGGGTAGGACCCCTTTGGGACCGATGATGGGCAAAAGACTTTTATCAAACTCTGAATGATTCTAATTTCTCCTCTTTATTCCACACTCTCAGAAAGGTCCTCAGAGGCTCCTAAACTTTTCTGGGTCCAGATTTCCCTGGGTCATCTGAAAGCTGTGTATCCTCTGCTCATGAAGCACCAACACACATACACGCACGCACGCACGCACACACACATTCGTACCCTCTCAACGTGCATGTGAATGCACAAGCACTGGGGCAGGCTACATAGTTTTCAGGATCCCTTGTTCAAAATGTGTTAAGAATTTCAAGACAGCAGAGCATTAAATTAAGCAGGTGGCCCCTCTAAGGACCAGGGCCCTGTGCAGCTGTACTGGTTGAACGCCTCTATACCATTATGTGGTTTTCGTAAAGCCTCTGGCATGTTATGCAAGAAGCACTACTGATGGGCTCACCAAGGGTTTTTTTTTTTTTCAAAATGAATTATGGATTGACCTTTACCCTTGTTTGTCTCGATTTCAGAACAGACACATAAAATCATTTTAAAAAAACACTTACTGTTAATAAGATCTAAACTAGCAGTTTCCTCTCGCTTCACCACATACCCCAAAGCTCTTCTGGTCTCTCATGTTTGTAAAGCCCTCCGTGCTGGAATCGACTACCCATACGGGGCAGAGATCTCACCCCGAGAAACCCTCTCCAAAACGGGTTTCTTCCCACTCCCCCCAAAACAGGCTAGATGAGAGTGTGTTTTGAGGAGCCTGAGAGGCATGGCTGTACTCACTGTGAATTCTGTGGGCACCATGATGGACCAGATGCAAGCCTGCGCCTAGAAAGAGAGGGCAAAAATCAAAAAGAGGTGTCTTACAAAAGAACAGTAATATACACCTAAAGGTGGAAATTGAATGTTAAATTTGTTTGTTTATACGAAAAGAAAGGATCTCAAGCAAGAGTTAGAGTCCATGTTACACTGATGTCAAACAGAATATTCTAGATTTCAAAACAATTTTGGTTGTGAACACAAAATGAGAGAAACCTCTCCCCTGAGAGCCCTTTGGGGCCCTCATGCTTTCCCAGCACATCCTTTTTTACATGAGCTCATTTTCTCTTGACTCAACTTCTCAATCATACTCTGGTTTAGTAAATGCCCCCAGCCCTATTTCATCAACCGGGGGGCTCCTGAAGATCACAGGACAGAGCCTGACTTGAGAGCCCTCTGGGTCCAGACTCTGCAGGGGAATGGCCTCTGCATAACCAGGTGGCAAGGCCGGGTGCAGGGGGCGGAACAAAAGGAGGAGACATCTGCCAGCATCGGGGCCTCTCTCCCAGTGGGGCCAGAACCCCAGCACCTACCTACAGGCTCCATTGTCAAGCCCAGGATAGGAAAACGGGCCCTATCTTCTCTGTCCCCTGACTCCAGCAGGAAAAGGAAGTCCCAGGATTTGTTTAGCAAAGAAAAGATAGTTGGTTCCCTGATGCAAAGGGCCTCCACGCTGACTTCAATCAATCAATCAATCAATCAATCAATCTCTGCTATTGTTCGTATGTGTTTTGATGTTTTGAATCTCTGTAAACCCACCTCAATATAACTCAGGGAACCACAGCTCACCTCCCTTCAAGGAAGGGTCTGTGCCTGAGCAGGGCATTTCTTTTTATACTTTTAGCGAGAACATTCCAAAGAACCATGTCCAGCACCACACCCCAAGTTTCTAGAAGAAAACAATTCTCCTTCATAGATCTTCCCCTAACCTATTGGTTTCCTTTCCATAACACAACATCATGACTCAACCTCTTTTTCTGAAAGCACAGTGGTTTCCAGGACCCGGCATGTGGTACAACCACTTTGGAAAACCATTTTGTTGGGTTCGTAACAAGTTACATACCCACTCTCCATGTGATCTAACCATCCTACTCTTAGGTACTTACCTAAGAAAAATGCAAGCATGTGTCCACACAAAGACTGCTTTATGAGTGTTCACAGCAGCTTTATTTGTAGCAGAAGTTGCTGGAAACAACCCAAATGTCTGTCAAGTATCGGGAAGGGATAGGTGAACCATGGAATGGCCACCCAATGAAATCGGGATGAACAACGCGTGCACACAGCAACACGGATGAGTCTCAAAATATTTATGCTAAGTAAAGAAGCCAGACCAAGGCGTACATACTCTGCGACTCCACTCACATAAAATTGTAGAAAATGCAAACTAATCTATCCTGAGAGAACACAGACCAGTGATTTCCTGGTAAGAGAGAAGCAGCAGGGAGGGGGTGCGGGTGGGGAGGATGAGGTGCAAAAGTGCACAAGGAAGCCTTTGGAGGTGATAAATATGCTCACTGGGCTGATTGTGTGGAGATTTTATGGGCATATACGTACATATCAGAACTTATATTCCGCATTTTAAATATGATCTTTGCACATGGACCTCAACAAAGTGGTTCAACTGAAGAAAGGAAAAACAACTGAAATCTAATGAAAAGTGATTTTCTTTCCTCCTCAGAGTCCTATCTAGCCTTTAGGAGGTGAGGAAGAAGACAATACAGCTTGTTCCTTGCAACCTTCTTGCCAGCACTTCTCAAAAATGCCTTGGAGTCCCTCGTGCTGTTTATTGGAATTGAGGATTCAAGGTTAACTCATATTTTTAAAAAGTTAACTCCTTTAAAGATGAGATAGATAGATGATAGATAGATAGATAGGATAGATAGATAGATGATTAATAGATAATAGAGAGATAGATGATAGATAATTTGTGCTTCACACACACATTTCCTGGCACTGTTTCCTAAGATGACCCAAAAGCAATGACACAGCAGAATAAGCAATGAGTGCCCAGATCTTAGTTTCTAAATACCTTCTTCCACCAAAAGGAAGCAGCACTGTGGAGAAATATCTGACTCCAAAGTGGGGCAGGGAACTTGCAAGATGAACCTGGAACTGATTTTTCTTTTTTCATTAGGAAGCAGGTGTTTGAAGGACCATGAGGACTTGTCAAAGGACATAGGTGCCAACCTGCTGGGGCTCTCACTGGCCAAATCAGAGGTGATTTGGGCTCCAAGTTAAGTAATGATGGCAATCATTCTAGCATATCCAGCTATGTGAGGCTGCAGGAGTCTATACTGATGAAAATAAATAAAGAAGGGCACCTGGATGGCTCAGTGGTTGAGTGTCTGCCTTTGACTCCAGTCATGATCCCCAGGTCCTGAGATCGAGTCCTGCATCAGGCTCCCCTCAGGGAGCCTGCTTCTCCCTCTGCCTATGTCTCTACCTTTTTCTGTGTCTTTCATAAATAAATAAATAAATAAAATCTTTTTTTAAAAAAAGAAATGAAATGAAGAAATGTACAAAGAGGTGAGAAAGCCCTTCTTATGGTGCCACCCACTAAATACAGAAGGAATCCTGGGATTGGAAAATCGCCAATGGAAGCTGAAATTAGTGGGTGGACATTTGATGGGGAGCAGGGGTGTTGACCTCATCTCAGAAGATCCCCTCTCCAAATTCCATATTGTCCCATTGACTTTATCATCCTCTATTTTGTTTCTGAATCATGGGCTTAAAAAATAAAATCTTTTTTTTTAAATAAGGCCCAGTTAAATGTGGAACTTCCCAACTTAGCTCATGTAATTCTAATACAGCGTGGGGAGCAGGGAAATTGGATTTTGAGACAATAGCCAAAAAACAGTTCATGTATTTTTAGTATCCGTGGCTTCTTTTCTACCTACATAAAAAGACTAAATATTAATTAGATAATAATGAAGAAAAAAACTCCCAAGGAAAGAAGCCACATAAAGAAGAAAGAATGGCTTTGGTCATGGTTAGTTATAACTAGTTAGCAGGGAGTGTAAATTGCCTGTCCCCATGCTCTCCAGCCTTTAAGGGCAAGCAAAAAAAAAAAAAAAAAAAGTCACCTCCTCATTGAAGCCCTCCTAGGCTTCCCCAGTGCCGGTGACAGGATGGTTGATATTTGCACTGCTCCTGCCCTCTTGCCTTGCCCTGTGCAACCTTTTCAGAGGATGAAACTATATCTGTCAAAATTTACAAAGCACAATAGCTCTGACTCATCACTCGATCTGCTGGAAACATGTACTATTGCTATTCTCACAAAAGAACATAAAACTACATACAGAGATGCATGAGGCAGCTTTTTTTTTTTCAGAACAAAAAAGTAGAAACAACCTAAATACCCAGCAATTGGTAATATTTTGATACATATTTCAATAAAACCCAAGAAGTCCATAAATGGAATTAAAACAGACCTCACACGGAAATAAGGAGGTCACCAAGAGTATTTGGTAGAAATGCAAAGTAGAAGACTATGTTGCGTGATCGTTTAAAAAAAATGTAAAAGTTATACACTTCACTGCTTATCAGTACTGAAACATTTTCTGGAAGAAGATTGAACAATTATGACCAGTGGAAAGTGAGACTTTCATTTTTTTCCTTTAGGTTTTGTAAACTATTTAAATATTTTACTTTGTGCATGAAATTTATTTTAAGAACTATAGTAAAAATAACAGCACTTTTTTTTTTTTAAAGCCTCAATGCTCTTCCGTTTTGTATACCATACATCTGTTTGCAAAAGCGCCTCCCCAGGAGGCACTCTCAGCCTGCTGCCGCTGGCCTGGAAAAGAAGCCCAGGACTAGTAATTAAATTATCTGTGGCTACTTTTTGCAACCTTGAGATCCTACATTGGCTTTTTATGAAGGCTTATCTTGCTGCTGTTACACATGTGCTTCTGACCCACGGAAAATTTAGAGAGAAGCCAAAGAGCAAAATCAAAACATATTCCTCCCAAGACCCACCATCAAAAGACACTGTAGAGGGCCCTCCATCCAGCTCCCCTCTCCTCTATCAGAATACTCTTGGAAGATTTTATTGCACCAATTGCAAAGTCTCCAAGCTTGCTTTCATTTTCCTCTCGCCCCCGAGTCAGAGGCAAACACCCACATATAACAAAACATACTGAAAGCAGGCCCCCCTGTGTCTGCTGGGAGCGCTCGGGCGCCGGGCTCCGGGGTGCCCCAATCTCTCCTCGCCACTGTGCTCAGGCTGCTTTCATTACGGGGCCGTGACTGTTCCCATCTAAAAAGTCTGCCTGTGTCCTGCAGCATAATGGACGGGGCGGGGGGAAGCACAATGGACCTCCATCTGTCCCTTGGTCCAGCCCTTCCTGCCTGTGGGACCTTAGCAAGAAGTGGCATGCCCTCGCCGAGCCTAGATTTCCTTGGCTGTAAAATGGAAGCAAGAGCCCACCCTGCTGCGAGGGCTGCTGGCAAGGGTCAAGTGCAATGCCTTTCGCAGAATGCAGAGGGCTGGGTGTGAAGGAGGGAACATTCTTCATCCCCCAGCTACTCATTCAGAGTGTCTTGACACCCGGTACACCTGCTTGGCTTGAACACGGTATGAGACATGATCCATGTCCTCAAGAAGCTCACATTCAAACATCATCACTGCAAATACCAACCGTGGTAAATACTACCAGTCGCTTTGGGAATTAGTAGGAGGAAGTCCTGACTCCAGTGCTGGGGAAACCCAGGAAGGCTTCATTGAGGGAGTGACTTTTTTGTGTGTGTGTGTGTGTGTGTGTGGCTGGAGAGAATGGGGACATGCAATGAGGGGAGAGAACATTGCTCGAGGGCAGGGAAACATATGCACAAAGGCAGGAAAGCTGGAAAGCAGGAGATGTGTACAGGGGCCCGGGTGGTGGTAGAAGGCAGAGCTGCTAATTCACGGAAGAAAGAAAGAAAGAGAAAGAAGAAAGAAAGAAGAAAGAAAGAAAGAAAGAAAGAAAGAAAGAAAGAAAGAAGAAGAAAGAAAGAAAGAAAGAAGAAAGAAAGAAAGAAAGAAAGAAAGAAAGAAAGAAAGAAGAAGAAAGAAAGAAAGAAAGAAAGAAAGAAGAAAGAAAGAAAGAAAGAAAGAAAGGAAAAACCTACATGTGAGAAAAGTTAGGCTGACAACCATTACTATACAACAATTATTTTCCTTTTTTCCACTGTCTTTAAGTAATCGACAGGAGAATCATCACGGAAGGGCAGCAGGCTGGCTAACTCAGTGGAACATTGGAACTCTTGATCTCGGGGTCCCCGCAATGGGTGTAGTGTTTACTTAAAAAAAACAAAAACAAAAACACCTCATCATGCAACCCCAGCCTCCCTGCCCACTGCAGCCGTGCAGCCGTGAGTTGGAGACAGATACTAATGTGAGTCAGGAAAGTGGGTGTTGCTTTGATTTTTGTCCAATTCGCTATACTGAGATTGAATCATTTCTTGCATTTTTTGGTAGCTCTGCTTTCTCTCACCGGCCTGAAAACAGGGTCTCCGAGCGGTCTACTACGGCCGTCTGCGGGCCAAACCTGGTCAGGGCCTCACCCCCTGCCCCGCAGTGGGGAGTCCTGGGGTTGGTGGGGAAGCTTCCGGGCAGATAGATATGGAGAAAAAGAAGCGTCCAGCGCCAGGGGCTGAAATGGCAGATTGACTGGCTCATTCTGCAGGGGGAGGAGAAGACGGGCTCCGGCTTCTGTAGGCTGGTGGCTGCCCCCCAAGTCCAACTCCGGGTGCAGTGACAGCCCGCCTGCGGGGCCGACCGGCTACAGAGCTACTACGGCTCATGGTGATAGAGAACTGGAGAGGTGTGTGTGTTTGAAAGGACAAAGCCACAGTCACTGAGGAGTCATCGAAAATAGAAGAGCTGTGCTTTTTCCGTTTATAAAGGAGATTTGAGGGACCCCTGGGTGGCTCAGCGGTTGAGCATCTGCCTTTGGCTCAGGGCGAGATCCCTGGGTCCCAAGATCAAGTCCTGCATTGGGGTCCCTGCCAGGAGCCTGCTTCTGCCTCCGTCTGTGTCTCTGCCTCTCTCTGTGTGTGTCTCTCATGAATAAATAAATAAAATCTTTAAAAAATTTAAAGGAGATTTTGTACATTTCATAATGTACAAAAGCAAACCAACACCCCCAGAGCAAATAGATATGATGAAGACAATTAAAAGTGCTCAAACAGCCCTTTCCTGGGCTGGCCATTGTTCACTTTCTGAGGTGCATCCTTTTAGACGGTTTCTCTGCGACAGAGCCTCTCACACACACATACACACACACACTTAACGGGAAGGGAATCGGGCAGCACCAGTGGCTCGGCGGTTTAGCGCCGCCTTCAGCCCAGGGCCTGATCCTGGAGACCCAGGGTCGAGTCCCATGTCGGGCTCCTGCAAGGAGCCTGCTTCTCCCTCTGCCTATGTCTCTGCCTCTCCCTCTCTGTGTCTCGAATAAATAAATATCTTTTTAAAAAATGGGAAGGGAATTGGACTGCACAAACCGCTATCAATCTGGCTTTCTAGTTAACACTCTTTCCCGGCCTACTTTGCTCATTAACGTGGAGCTGTCGTCAGACTGGAGGGCTGTCGGGTGTTCTGTTTTGTCTGCTGTCACAGTTCACTTAACCATCACCTCTTGGTGCAAAGTTTGCTTGTTTCCATATTCTCACTGCTACAGAGAGTGCTGCCCAGACATCCTTTCCATGAGGCCTCTCTCGACCCAAGGACCTCACGGGGGCTTCACTGTCCTAGTCCTGACCACCTTCTTGTCACCAATCCCGAGCACCTGCTTCTCCCTCCTGTAAGGTACAAATCACAGAACAGACTGCCTTGAACTTTTATATCACATATGTAGGTGGGAGGGAGTCTTATTACTCATCCTAGAAGACTGGGCAAGCCACCACCTGATTCACCGTTGCCTCACTGGAGGCATCTAGCAAAGTGCCTGGTGCTCAGGACCACTGCACAGATGAGCAAAAGCCTGAGTTTTAGAAGTCATAGAAACAATGCACACGTGAGGACACAGGAGATACTGGGCCGGGCAGAGGAGGAGGGTGAGTGATACTCACTGCGGAGGGCAGCCGGAGAGACTCCAGGAGAAGGTGGCCCCACCAGCTCCGTTTAGGGGAGGGGAGGAGGAGGGCTGGCCGGCTCTCTGCCTGGGATGAGGGGCAAGGCTTCTATGTGTTATGTGCAGGCAACCTCGGTAAAAACACTATAAAGGAAGTCAGGCCACCCCTGCCTGTGTTGTCATAGGCAGGGTGGCCCCGGAGGGTGGGGAGTGGGGAGTCACCAGCTGCACCTCCAGCAATCAGCAGAATCGATGATTTGCAACCAGAAGCGAAAAACCAAGAACTGCTGGGCTAAGGGAAACCATCTTTTCTGAAGACTGGTCTACAGACCAAGAGTCTAAGAACAATGTATTTTCCTAGACAGCACAGCTACTTGCAGGCAGAGGGGGAGAGAGGCTGCCGAGAGGGGTCAGCTTTGCCAGGCTTGCTATGGGTGTGCATGTGTTAGGTCTCTCTGGGGTGGGGGGTCTGGCTGGTATGGGACCAGCACCCCCCAGCTCGGTCTGTCACCATGCAACCCTTTCTGGCCTCAACAGCTGTACCTAAGGGCATAGAGCCATGCTCCCCATACAGTAGCTACTGCCCACCTGGGCCTTTTCAAATTCAAACATAACTAGATCCTTAGTCACACCAACTGCATCACAAGTGCTAGCTAGCTAGCCACCCGAAGCTGGTGGCGTCCACGGGAGACAGCACAGATTCTGAAAGTCCTATTGAATGGTGCTACTTTAGAAGGGCATGTATGTGCTGCATGTCTAGGAACCCCGGGAGTGTTGGAGAGTCAAGGATGCCTTAAAGTTAGGGTCAGCTACAGTCAGATTTTATTCTGGCGTGACCACTATATATTAGATGCATGGATGCAGATAAAGCATCTCACCTGATAAATTATGGGTGTTTCAATGACATTTTTATAAAAGCCTAAACATGCAAAATATTATATTTTTTAAGATGTATTTATTCATGAGAGACACAGAGAGAGAGGCAGAGACATAGGCAGAGGGAGAAGCAGGCTCCCGGTGTGGGACTCGATCCCAGGACCCCAGGATCACAACCCGAGCCAAAGGCAGAAACTCAATCACTGAGCCACCCAGGTGTCCCAAAATATTATATTCTTAATGAAGTTCACAGATGTTTTTTTTAGCCCCCACGGCTATGGGAAGGCCATCATCGACTGTGACACGATTGTACCCCCACCCCCACCTCTGGGCCCCAGGGTCAGGTGCTGCGCCTGGCAACTGAGAGGCCCTGACAGGGAGAATCAAGGAATAGAAGCCGCAGCCCATGACCTCTGCCGCCTGTAGCAGAGAAAAGACCCAAGCGAGTTCCTTGTTGTCATTACAATACAGACCTCTCTTTTATCTTTGTTCTGGGGGAAATCACAGCTGTACTCTAGGGGAGGCCGGTTTCCTCTTTCTGGTACATTTGTCGTCCCCTGGACTCACCAGAGCGGCAGAGTGACCCTCCCCAGTCACCGTCCATTCGTGCAGAGCACGGTGATGCATCACATGCCGTCGGATTCATTATCTAAGTGGGAAAGGCCACCGAACGGCCATGTACGAAAGTTACAGAGCGGGAGCAGTAAGAATGAAAGCAGCAGTTGATTCAGCAGCCTGGAGGGAGCTGTGAATTCCCTCGCTCTCGGCCCATAGCTGCTGAGCATCACGTCTAAAACGGTACGCCAGCCAGGGGCTCTGGCCTTTCACTTCTCCCTCGACCTTGGCAATTATCGAAAGAAAAAGAGGAGCAATCGAATGGAGAAATGCTCCCCGAACTGATTTTTGGTCGTTTTCGGGCGGGGTGGGGGGGGGAGCAGTGCACTTGCTTCTCGCCGGGGGCTGGCCCGGGACCCCGAAGCGCTTCCAGGAGCCTCAGACGCGTGCTATGCTGCAGGAGCCCCGGTGTCCGAGCAAGAGGCTGTGCTTTCACCCTCTTGTGACTTCAGCTGTTTCTTCGCCAGGTAAGGGCATCCCACATAGATGCCGGAGGGTTGGGGTGAGGCTGGCAGGCGGAAGGGAAGTCGGGAAGGGGGTCAGGGAAGAAGAGGAGGACAAATGAGCTGTCGTGGAGAAGATTGCCTCCACCATGTGATCCCCCGTGGTCTAGGCGAGGCAGGGATGCTCAGGCCGCACCAAGTTCTAGAAGGGCTGCTTTAGAATAACACCCATGCTCCCTCTCCAAGGATGCAGAGAGGGTGCTGGAGGCTGGGGTGGTAGGGAGATATGAGGAAGAAGAAGAAGAAGAAGAAGAAGAAGAAGAAGAAGAAGAAGAAGAAGAAGAAGAAGAAGAAGAAGAAGGAAGAAGAAGAAGAAGAAGGAAGAAGAAGAAGAAAAGAGGAAGAAGAAGGAGAAGAGGAAGAAGAAGGGAAGAAGAAGAAGGGGAAGAAGAAGAAGGGGAAGAAAGAAGAAGAAGAAGAAGAAGAAGAAGAAGAAGAAGAAGAAGAAGAAGAAGAAGAAGAAGAAGAAGGAGGAGGAGGAGAAGGAGAAGGAAGGAGAAGGAGAAGGAGAAGGAAGGAGAAGGAGAAGGAGAAGGAGAAGGAGAAGGAGAAGGAAATTGATTTCTCAAAGGAGCCAAGACCAACATGGTCCTTTTTGGTGTCATCCAGTGTAGGGTCATTGCTTGCGGGGAGCACCCTGACATCTGTCCCCTCACCGTGTCTCTCCGTGTGCCGATGGAATTCGGAACTGGGTGTCTAGGAGGCTGCAGGTGTCCTTTTACAGAGGTCATTTCTCTCTTGGTGTTCTCACCCCTGCAAGGGAGAGTTCTAAAGGCCCACAAGCCTAGCTGTGGGGGCCAACGGGAGCGCCACGTCTGGGTTCCCGCTTGCCCGTCCCTCTAAGTCCACGTGTCTGACACAGTCTCTGGCAGAGACCAAATGGGTTTTTGCTTGAATCCTGTGCTCTCCCGGTTCTCCATATCGTAGCTCGAGTGGTAATCCTGACTCCTTCCCAAGCCTTCCAGACCTATCGGGACAGTCATATCCCAAAAGCTTGGTGGGGTCTTTGGAAGAAGCCATGCTCCATCTCTACTCTTCATCGATTAAGGCCTTACTAATTTTGGGAAGCCCAAAGTGCCTTAAAGGGCTTTACAGCAGTTTGGGGATGAGGATCTGATCATTGCAGGTACAAGGAGCCACAGGGCAAACTTCCGAGGAACAAAATTCAGGAGGACCCCTCTTGTCCGCTAACTCCACGAGGACACAGACCGTGGGGCCTTGGCCATGGCTGCAGCCCAGCAGCACATTCCAGCAGCTTACTAGTCGTCTTCTGACTGCCCTAATGGAAAAGACAAACCTCCCATAAGTGCTGGGGGTCCAGGACAGGGCCATCCATAGAGCTTTCTAAAGTGGTAGAAATGTTCTAGATCTGTGCAGTTCAACCGGGCAGCCACCAACCGCAGCTGATGAGGCCCTAAACCATAGTTAGAGTGAGAGACTGATTAATTGAATTTATTTATTTTATTGCAATTGGTTTCAACATACATGTAAATAACTACATATGGCTAGTGGCCACCACAGGTCTACACTGCAGCTAGTATATGTACCTTAGGACGGCTCAGTTGGCTACAAGCCGGGGTGGGGGGAGGGGGGCAGAGCCACTCTCCTCTCCTGGAACACAGAGGGGCTTGGGGGAGGAGGGTGGGTGGGGAGTCGGGGGCAGGGTGCCTCCTGCCTCAGCAGGCTTAAAGCCAGCACGGGCTTTTGATCCACTGGCTTTCCAGGACACTTGTAGATTCTTTACTTTGCCCATATTTGGAGAAAGGAACGAGAGGGATGGGAGAGCCGTGGGACCCCCGGGAGCCAGCAAATGATGGGATGTTGCCGGAGCCAGAGAGCAAGATCATTCAGAGGCTCTGGAAACACTCGGGTGCCTTCGGTAGAGAGGGCGAGGGAGAGGAAATGTGGGCTGCAGCAGTTAGGGATGCACGTGGCTTCAGGTAGAAAATGGCAGAAGTACAGAGGCTCAGGGCAGGTCATGGGTTCACTGTGCAGCTGCAAGCTCTTGCAGGACACAAGCTACTTAGAAGAAAGATAAATGTCATCCACAGCTCCTGAGATTTGGAGCCTGTAGCACGTGAAGCATGAGACCAGCCGCAGGATCTGCGATTTTATCTGCCCCATTATCTGTTAATGATAAAGGTCACCCCTCCCGCCCTGCCCCGCTCTGTCTCATTGGGAGATCTGGTTTCAATCCCCACGCAGCGCGGAGTTGTCGGGTTCCTACCACATGCCAGCACTGATCTCAGAGGTGGCGAGGGAGCAGGGACCAAGACAAATGATAGTAAATAAGACTTTGGAGAAGTAAAGCAGAAGACATGACCGAGTGGCTGAGAGACCCCTTCATACCGGGTGGTTAGGAAGGGCTGGCCAAGGAGGCGACATTTACGACGCTCCCCCAGAAGGTGAAGATTGGGTTGACCATGCCTAGCAGCGGGAACAGGTGGCAGGAAGAGCCTGGTGCGTCTGAGGATGAGAAGACCAACTGGCCGAGACAAGAGAGGTGTGAGGGGCAGCCAGAGAAACAGGAAGGGCCCGAGCATGTGGGGACCCGAGGCCAGAGGCTATAGTTTTGCTCTGATGCCAGGTGTGATGGAAAGTCCCCGAAGGGATTCATGTAGGCAATGACCTGACCCAGGTTCCACTGCTAATAGATCATGGGCTGCTGCGTGGGGATTTCAGGAGAAACAGAGAAACCAGGTTCCCGTGCAGCCTTTGGGCGTGAGTTCCCACCACCAGCCCGAAGCATTAGAGCTTCCCCTTTGCCGGGGCGGCCGCGGGAGCAGACCTCTCAGCTCCGCCACCACTGTCCCTTCTCCCACTTCCCCCTCTGGGAGGCAAGGGGTGCATTCAGAGGGCCCACCTCCTCCCTCCCTCCTCACACCCCAGGTGGAGGGAGGGCCCCTGCTAACTGCTGGGGAAGCTTCGTAGTAAATGATGACAACTATACACGCAGATGTGCTGACAGGCTTTTTTGTCCTTGTTGTTTTTTAAATAAAAAGACAGCACTTTTAGGTTCACAGCAAAATTGAACAGAAGGTACAGGGACTTCCCACGTATCCCCTGTAGCCACACAGGAGCAACCTCCCCACA